ACAGTAGTGGGCGAATCTTGAGTGTTTCCATTGCGAATTCCACCCTCAGTAGCCGGCGCCCTTCTAGTGGTTATTCCTTGCATTCCATCTCTAAGATTTGATGATTCCCTCGTGAATCCCCCAACCGTCCAAATCTCTAAATTGGGCGACTTTTGAGTTAATCCGACAGATTGACCAGTCGTCGGCTGAACAAAAATCAGAGCACAAAAAGTAAGGCAGATGATCATCATGTTGCTGAATATAAAACAAAAAAAAGTGCATTTGCAGCACAGAAATGACGCACATCAGCTTTTGCTGGCCATTTATACCTTCTCCGCCCTTCCTAAGAGGCAATTGGTTGCCGCTGAGCAAGAAATAACCTAAACATGACGGCGGTCTTGCATAAGTCGTGAGGTACACACCAAAGTAGCGTGCATTGAAAGCTTGTTAACAAGAATACTAAGAGTCTCGATAGGTCATGTCGCTGTAACAGTCACGTTTATTGGGATAATTAGTTTGTTATTTCGACTACTCCACGTCAACAAGAGTTCCAAGGGTGGGAGAATACTGTCGTCTTATTGATCCCCCTGTGTGTTTTTACACGCGGCATATTACGTTGGAGAATTCTAGTAGCGATTAATTGGGACGACCTCTAAACAAACAGGTGGAACCGAAATGGTAGTGCAAGTGAATTGCAGCGTTAGCGGAAAGTATTATGGTCTTTATATGGGACACAAATGTTTTGAATTTATCGTTTTTTTTATGCTTGTGGTGATGAATTTAAATTAAGAGTAAAAAAACGTACAGCCGGCGTGACAAAATTGAAGGCCCGTGTAACAGAGTCCACTCTCCATTTACATATAGGCCCTACGTGTACGATTAATGTGATGACAAAAAAAATGCACCTACATATCACCAACAGCCACAAGATACCTTATGCACATAATTACCAACGGGAAGTAAGCTAATGATAATAATTACTTCGGTAGATGCATGGTCGAAACTTTACAGACTTCATTTGGTAAAGTACTTAATAATAGAAAGATGATTCAAATTTCAGTGTATCATGGTTTGAACGCTTTGGAGCGTGGGTAGGATTTATTCTGCTGAAATTATAAGTTCTTATCTTTATGCTTTTGATCAATCACCGTGTTTAACAGTTCTGGTGCTGAGTTAGTACATGTAATAATGGTAATTGTTCACTTCGCGGTGCAATGTTTTTCAGGATCATATACATTTCGCCCCCCACCAATCAACGACATTTTTATTATTATAAAGTAGTCGCCTATTTTTCCAAGTCAATGGGAATTTTATTATTTTTCCCTACGTCAGCGTCAAGATGACTACCAATGGCGGTGCAAATATCCTGCTTACATACATTGTACATGTTTATATATATATATTGTAGGTCTTCAACAAATGTCACAAACCGCTTTTTTCAGTGTACGGCACAATAGTTATGCGGTGCACTTTATTTCATCGGCTGTACACTCCCAGAAGATCTCTTTTCTAGTGTTATCCATACCTCATCATCGAGGGCACCGAGTAAGCCACAACTCGCCTTGACCTCCTGACCTTTGACCCCTTGAATCTGTAAAATAGGATAGTTGACGAAAGTGACCAAAGCCTTGCTAGCTACACCAGTCAATGCGTCGACTTGTTATAACACGACTTCTTCAAGAATAAGTTTTTTTTTTGTTATTTGTCAAAACCCCCTTTACTTTGGACGGCGTTCTTTCTGCGTCTTTTGTGCGGCCATGAAACAAGCATCGCTCTGGTCGTAGAAAGGAGGCACAAGCAACGCTTTGGTTGCAGAATAAGTGCTCAGTGATTGGCCAGTTATCGGCAAGTAAAGTATTATTTTTTACTCTCAAACGGGGCCATGCTACGGGACGCAGAAAGGACGCCGTCCAGTGGAAAGGGGGCTTAAGCACGTTATTCAGTTTTTGGCTACTATTTCTGAATTTCACCACATGCCAATGCTCACGAACCTGAAAGCTCAGCAGAATGTTCGCCAGTGCCGTAGTGACTTCTGCGTAAGCGAAACGGTACCCAGGACACTTCCTCTTGCCGGCAAAACCAAACGGTTGAAAGGAGTAGGGGTGACGCTCCGACACTTTCTCCGGGCTGAAACGATCTGGATCAAACCTGGAAATTAAATGAATACCTCCAAGTGCAAACTCTGAATAGATAAAAAAAGGATGAGAATATGATATTTGTTGATAAAAAGTGCTCAAGTTCAGAGGTGAACTCGATTTGAACCCTGGTCATATACATACCACTTTGCTGTACGACTCAAATATATTATTACATATAAAATTTAATGCACATTAAAAACGGTGAATTAAATTGTGTTAGTAGGATAATGGTGGATATATGTAACTATATAATTTATAAATGCTTACTCATTTGGGTTCGGCCAGCGTGCTGGATCATTATATTCCACATTAATAGCTTGGATGATTGGTGTCTAGAAATCATAAAATTTGGAAAAGTGTGTCTAACTGAATTCTACCTGTATCGGTCAGACACTTGGTTAGGTAAAATTATTTTATTCTTATAACTAAAACTTTCATCCCTATTTCAGGGGTAGAGAAAATGAGTGAGAATGGTGAGAATGTAAATGACAGAGAAACCATACACTGGTATACGAACGGCTATGGAAACACTGTTTTTGTTTTAATTTTGGCGCCATAGCCTGATATGCAGTGACGTGTCACAAGTTAAATGACGCAAGAAAACATGAGAAGAAAGAAATATTTAAATCTCCAATTTCGGGACAATGCAAATGTTTACACAGTTACATCTTTCAGAAAAATAAATAAATGCCCAACGCACCTCTCAGAGAATATGTGGCGTCCATAAATGAAACTGTACTATTCACAATAACGTAAGAATTTACTTACCCCAGCTGGTATGACGTAATCTCCAAGTTTGACGTCATTTTCATCGTCAAAGCGGGCTGCGTAAGGTGCAATCTTCGCTATGCGTAGTGCCTCGTCAATAACCTGACGGGTGTACCTAAAAGTTTTAAGCAATGCCCAGCACTAGTATGGTATCATATATAATAATTCTATTTGAATATAGAAACGACGCCATATTTTCTCTGTAAAACATTATAAGTCCAGTATATGATACATATCCATATTGTTCCGCGTCTCTATTAAAAAAAAAAGCGAATTGTTCCGCAAACACTTACACTAACTGACCAATGTTATCCGGAGTTATTTTGCCTGTGTCACCCAATACGTTCTTAACCTCTTGGTACATCTTTTCTTGCACATCAGAGTGGGCAGAAATAAAAGTCAGGGCCCACAATAGCGCTGGAAATATGTATTATGATGTAGAAGATATAAAAAAATTGACGTACATTTTTTCGTGTAATTGTCTTTGTATTCAGTGGTATACATAGTACAGTAAATAATTGTAGTCTGTTAATAATAAATAAAAGGCGTCAAATTATTTGAATAGTTTTGTCATCCTTTCTAAGCCCCTTTCTGTAAACAGAATTCGCTTATTCTCTGATTTTGTTTTTAGAAATTTTACATTGTGTGTAAGGCAGAATGATTTAATTATTGACAAAGAGATCAACCTACAATTTGCTGTTGTATGAAATCCTCCAATAATAAACATCAAAACATCACATTGCATGACGTCATAAGGTATATTGTTCTCAATCATGACGTCAATCAGCATTTTTCGTTTCTCAGTGGTTGGGCGCTTCCGTCTTACTTCGATCGCTGCCGCAATGGTGTCATACATGTACTTTTTCGCTGCAACGGGAGTATCATAGTATATCATATGACAGGAAATTGGAGATATACAAAAGCACGTTTATTTTACGTTGCAATAACGGAATACATTGATGACATTAAGTGTGTTTCTTACCTTCGTTAAATATCTTTTCCCTCTCACTCCCCGGCTGCGGAAAATCCTCCTTTAGAAATCTTTGTTCCATATCTGACCAACTCTGATGAAAAAAGATGAAAGGTAATCGCAGGCTGATTTAACAAATGAATATATAAATAAAAATTAAATTGCCCACTAGAGCAAGAACTTGCAAAACTACAATACAAAAATATTGCATCAATGGGACGAATATTGTAACGTTTTACAGTTTTAATTGGTGGTTAAAATTGCTAGCCTTTTGTTTTCATTTGTTTGGGGTAGACCTACGTATAGTTATACACCGTAGCTGAACTCTGAACACCATAGCCGTTTCTGTTTAAAGACCAATCAATACCGAATATCTATTAAATATGGCAAATCAGTAGAAACTGTAATCTAAATGTCAGTTCACGCGACTTGATGAAATGATACATCCAAAATTGCAAATGACAAAATTCCTTAAGAATTGTCAATGGGCTTTGCCAAGCTAAATTTTCCAACTTCCAGGATTTCTTTTTACCTATAGACAGTAAACATGATCCTTATGAAAATCAATATGATTCTTCTTAGAACTTTAAGCAATCTACACAAATTTGAAAGCAAGTCTCTGAAATTGTGGCTTCCAATGAGAAATAAAATAGTGACCACATACGAACAAACAAACAAAAAACTAGCAAGCAGACCAAAATAATTGTAATATTTTTGCAAGTAGTTAATCATATGCATAGGGTACAAAAACATTTGTATACCACAACGGTATTCGAAAAACTTTGGCTTTAGCCATATTGTTCCTGATTGGGAACCGAGTCTTAGGAGATTATAGACTAAGAAGCAATTTAAGTATGGCTTACAGTATTATATGATTCCCAGAACTTGAGAACCTCTTCATCTTGTAAAAAGAAGTTTCCAAGAGAGCTCTGCATAATTGCCTTTATTGCAAACATGAACATCCCCTGGCGGCAAGGAACGTGTTCACCATGTGGTATTTGTGACCATCTCGCCACCATTTCCTCTGAAAGCTGTGGCGATTGCATAAAAATGAGAAAAAAGAAAAAATATATATAATTTTAAAAAATATATATGAATGGAATTGCACAGGAATAATAAAACACGTTTAAACTAACTAACAGACTATCGTTTTACAGTGTTTTTATCATGGTACCTCAAGGTTCGACTTTGAAGTCATTCTGTTGCTTTGTGCAGCAGTTTTGAAATACCCTCCAAATGTCTCCACATCGCGCAAAAAGAAAAAAAATAGACGACGTGACAGTTTGGCGCTTTTGTGGAGTTTTCTTTTGCTTCTAGCAAAAGATTCAAAACCATAGAGAAAGTATATCGTCCTTTCTATCGATCAGCTAAACATATTTACTAATGAAAAACTGATGAGAAAATAAATAAATCACCTTCTGAAGCATGCCAATGGATTTCATGACATTATAATGGCTGTAGCATGAGTCGTATGTATTTCTCCTCCATTTGCCGTCTTCCTTGTTTGCATACTGGATAGCCTTCTCGGTTATTATGACCTCCAGCATTTTAAAAAGAAGTCCTGGGAAAAGACAGTTAATTCGTAAAAGACCACATTCAGGCTGAAACATTGTACATGTACTAGCTGTGTCGGTCCAGCTCTGCGGGGGACTCTCGTTCAAGAGTAATCGTGGAATCAACTTTATTGTTTGACACGCCTCCTCGAGCAGCTATGGGTAATTAACCATGGCGCGCTGATTAAGCTGATTTCACAGATTGCACTTTAGCCGCAATCCCCCGCAGATTTAGACCAACACAGCTAGTACGATGTGTGTATCTGAGAAAGGTTTAAACTCGCACTCAAGAAAAAGAAATGGCCCAAGTATACATACCATCTTTGGTTTGACGTGTTATAATCCTTAAAATGATCAGACCTTAATAAAAACAACCACTTCAAAGCACATGTGTACGTAAGCGAGAACAGCTCGAGAATATATAAACTCGTGTCTTTTTATGTTCAACAAGTCTAATTATAAAAAAAAATAAAATAAAAAGGAGAATGGTATCTACATGTATTTTTAGACTTGCAAAAGCAACAAAAACCGGGAATCACTGTTTCTGTTTTGGAAGTGGAATTGCCTAATTTTTTCTCACGTAAATTACATGATAATGTGAGTTCTGAAAGATTCGCACTGTCCTCTGCTCTGAACATCAAATATGGCGACCCATTTAAAAGCTTGCCGCTTAGATGGGAATAACGCAACAAGCATTCAAGTGGGTCGCACTAGTGCAATTTAAGACCAGAACTGAACTCAGGCGCTATTTGATCTAGGATCTGTTAGTCGGCTGATATCAATGCGCTCTATGTTTTTTCTAAATAATGATTGGTATAATTTGTTTCCCCAACCAAAATGCATGCATTCACTAATTAGGTATAGAAGTGTAGAAAACTAACCTTGCATCATTTGCACTTAAATAAATTAATAAAGAAAGAAAGAACAACAAACAAATTAACAAAACAAAATATAAAAAAGAAAAAAAGAACTTTGTCAAAATTATATTTCCACTGTATTACTTACCAGGTCTGTCAAACATACGGGAGGTTTCTTTGAACAGTTGAGGAGAGGCGATGCTGACCACCATTTGTTCTCCAAACCAGAACTTTGCTATGGGTCCATACTGCTGATGGAGCCACAGCAGAAACCCATTAAATCCACCGTGTTTAGTAATCAGATCAAGGTTTCCGTGTCTGGAGGACAACGAATTGAAACATTAGAAATACCTGCATACAACAGAATCCGTTACTTGTCATTCTCTTATACATATAGCGCAACAGGGTACCCAATATCTACAAGTTACAGCTACACGTAAATAAGGACACTTTAATTGCCATTAGATATGCACAATTTGAGGAATCCATAAATTTGCCAACCGTAATGTCCGATTTGTAAATGGTGGTGCGCAATATCCGGGCACTTACTGGGCATGGCTGACCTTCAGTCCTGGGATGTCTCTGCCCGATGCATTAGTACCGCTGCCTGAGACCTGCAAAAAGAACGTGGTTAGAACGCATACATTAAGTATTTTTCAGTATGATTGATCATATTCAGTTCTGTAGCATCCACGTGGACTATTTGAAGGGGGGTCCTTCCCCCCCCCCCCTTCGATTTCTGAAAAAAAAAAATCAAACCAATGGTTTGACAAGCTGAATCATACTTCTTAACAGTACTAAATGGCACCGTTCGTCCTCTAAAATACCAAAAATTTTCGGGGCCCTTTACGGGCTCCTGGGCCCCGGGGCGCACGCCATGAAGGGAGGGGGGGGGGTCAGGGGGTCGGCTTGGCCTCCGCGGCCCCCCTTCCAAATAATCCTGGATCCGCACCTGAGAAGTAATGTAATAGTACGTTTCTTTCATATCATTTTTAGATCAGACCGCCAGTTACATCGTATCACCACGTCGCATGAACCTCGACAACAACACAAAAGCCACGAGATATTTAATCCGAAAACCAGGTTAAACCTATTACAAGGTGTCTACCTGTACACATAACATGGACCGTGCTACACAACACTATTCACCTGCACGTTTGGGCATTATCGGGTTGTTTCGTGTGACGTCCGGATGAGCCGATATGTGGAGCTAAGCTAAACCATTAGTACGATTATTAGGTTGATATATTGTTTCGGGTTTCAGCAGGTTCAGATTTATGTTTATTGGTGCACTGAGATTGCCTTGTATTGTGGTGTCTCTCATACAGGAGCAGGCAACTGCATGCCTGAGAGATAAAAACAACCAAACTGCTACATGTTTAATCACATATATACTATTCTTGTACATGTTCTACTTCTTGTTTCATATAATGAATCTTAGCGTCACAAGAGTCCACCGTCCTAAATTTCTCAGGAATGTAGAGAACCGTAAAGTATCTTATACATCCATGTAGTCTGATAGCGATCTGAGTGGCATTAGAACAGACAGTGTAGGTACATGGGTATTAAATATAGCGTTGAGACATTCATTTATCTTACCTTCTTTTTTATAACCGACAAAAACGCAATCGATGCCAGGAAGGTTACTATCACCACGATACACAGCGATGAAATGTCCATCTCTCCTTTGCATTCGCATAAGTTGAAATCTGTTTCGGTTCACCAGCAAGACATTAATTTAATACTGTATGGTAAGTAGGTCACGAATAAAAAACCTTCACCGTGCGGAGAATTGTATTGTGGGAAAGGTTACCCTGAAGTGTAAAGGAAAAACGGGATTATTTATGAAATGGAGGGCAAAGTGCACGATCTTCAAAAACAAATTACTGAAATAGAAAATAGAAGATGTTAAATTTATCACAGGGTTTGTTTCTTAGGAAGAGTCCAAGAACTTTCATGGTTTCTTGTATCTTGATATTAATGATACACTGTATGTACTGTTGGGTTCAAATTACCAAGACAGACACGCCAAGAGGAAAATAAACCCTTTAACCCTTTCTTAAGACTTACAGGACGAATTACTTTTCCTCTTGAGCAGGCTAAGAGCAGGATTACAATAAGAATAACTAGGCTTCGGGTATAAGTAACATGTAAAATGCACAGCATATACCGGCAGTGCTAATATGTTGTTATATATACTATGACTAAAATAGCAGCTTGTGATTTTTTTCTCCTGTGTTCAGTTTGTACAGTAAAAACTTATTCCAAGAAGGCCACTAATCATTTATGTGGTGAGACTGTAACCAAATAGGGCTAAAAATCATTATAGATAAAATCAACAGTAAGTCTTCAATGAAAAATCACCGAATCTAGTACTTTGTTCAAGTGTTATAACATCATTAAAAGCATAAATATAGCTGTCCCGGTGCCTGAGAAAATCAGAAAACCAAAAATGATGTTTTATGCCCCCCCCCCCAAAAAAAAAAAGGCCACATTACGTCACACGATGAACTTGGAGCTGTGTTTCAAGTATAATACGATGTTTGGAAGATACATTAAGTGCATGCAACAGAAATAAAAAAGCTGAGGACTTAAATTTTAGATAAAATACCCAACCTGAAGTTCTACCTTAGCTGTTGGGTTTGTATGTTTAGCATACAGCAACAACTTTTTGTACATTAGGGTGTTTTAACAATACTATGTCCTTATCTTTTCAGGACGGGAATAGCAACAGTTCCCAGGATTTGCAAGACATATTTTGAGTTGATGCATTTTCACTTCCGGCAGTTGTCCATCTGGTCATCAACAAAAGATAAAACACGTCACCGTTTTGATTTCTGTGGTGTTTACATGTTAAACTACGTCATAAACGCACATTTCTTTGTTCAAGAATCATTCAATATGGATGTGGGCTTTTGAGAGGAATTATAAACTGGGGGGATGGCTTTATCAGCCTTTACTGAAGACCCAAAATGCATTTTAACCGGTCTGCATAAAAAGTTGGAAATTTACCAATTTACTAATTTAGCACACGGAATAAAATAAAGCAGAGGTATGAACAAAAAACAAAACTCTTTTCTCTAGTTTATTATCATAAGACAGTTGTTTTTCTCTTTCCATCAAAAAAAAAAAAAAAATAAAATAAAATAATAATTATTATTATTATATCTGATCTCCATGAATTATTTAGGTTAGTATAAAAGAACAGTATTAGTATAATATCATCCCTACCAACGTACATGTATGTAGATAGACGGTCCCTTCATAAAATCATATCTATATCGATAGATATTAAATCTTTTATGATCTGCACATTGCGGAATGTATGATGATGAAGGAAATCAACGGTCTTTGACAAGAAAATAGGTCGATATGTATTAACTGATTGTATTTATGTGAATCATTATGATACACCGTCAATTTTTATATAAAAAAGGCTGTTTCTCAGAATTGTCATTCCAATCTTCTGGTACCTAACATAATTAACTTAATGATGTCTTGACAAATTTAGGTTGAAGTTATTGTTTTACTGAATACATTTATTTCCATCTATTTCACTCAATTATTGGAGGATCTCTCAGTCAGTGTTATCCAGACTTCGTCTTCAGGGGTAGTAACTAGTCCATATTTGGCCTTGACCTTCTGACCTTTGACCTCATGCACCTACAAGTGCGAAGAAACTGATGAGATGAATATATGTAAGTTTATTTGAATTTATCATATGTGTATGATTTCGAATTAGTTTATTGTACTATGTGGCAACAGAATTGAATCCACTACCCTTTTTATTGATAAGTAGATGTGCCGTTTCCTTCTAGGGTTTGTCTGAAAATGCGATTTTATTTTCTCATTTTTTGTTCTTTACAGCGTATTTTAAGCACACCTGAAACCTCAGCAGAATGTTCGCCAGTGCCGTAGCTACTTCTGCGTAAGCGAAACGGTACCCAGGACACTTCCTCTTGCCGGCAAAACCAAAGGGTTGAAAGGAGTAGGGGTGGCGCTCTGACACCTTCTCCGGACTGAAGCGATCTGGGTCAAACCTGGGAGCATACGTAAATTCCAATTTACACTCTAAATCAGAATAGACCTGAGGTCTTAAAGCGAAACTTCGACATTAGCTTTAATAGCTTTAAACGTAATTAGAAAAGTGAACGTCAGTTATGAATTCGGATTTTGAAAAATTTCAGATGTATATGGAGCTCATAGATATGTCTGTTCTCGCTTAATTCCATCACATTAGTTTAACTTTGCCCTATCCCATAATAAGTACATATCAAATCATACATTTTATATTATGCATATCATACATTTATATACAAATTGCAGACCCGTAGCCAGCAATTTCAAAAGGGGGGTTCTTTTCTAAAAAAGTGGACCTTTTCCCATAAAACCTTCATGTACCTAGATTATAATTTTACCTAGAGTGGACCTTTTCCCAGCAAAAGTGGTGGTTCTTTCGAACCCCCCGACCCCGCTGGCTACGGGCCTGAATTACAATTCTAAAATAACGTACTTCTTGGGATTTGGCCAGCATGTTGGATCATTCAGCACTACACCCAACGCATAGAGAATGGGAGTCTAGAAATTAGACGTAATAGTTCGTCACAAAGTATTCTATATATCACTGTGTATAAATCAGATGTTATTTTGTATATAATATACACTCAAACCGCAGTAAACAGATTTCATAGAAGTCTATCCTATCTCTCTTATGATCCAGATTAGATCGAATTAAGGACTCCACGAAATAACAAGACAAACAAATGATAAACATTAACATAAAACATGAAAATATTATAAAATAAGATTAGAATAAATAATAATAATAATAATAATAATAATAATAATATTCTTATATGGCGCCTTACATTCTATCTCAAGGCGCCTTACAATAATGGCTAATATACTAAAATCATTAAAATGACTACAATATTTTAAACATAAACTCTCACTGGAAACCATTTAAAATTTACACTACTAAAAATCAATCTTATTAAAATACATATATATATGTAAAAAAATCTAAGAGATATAGACAGAATTAAAAATGTGGGTCTTTAAAAGAGATTTAAAATTGTCAAAGTCTTCTGTTTTTCTAATAAAATTTGGTAGACCATTCCACACTTTTGGGGCGTAGATTATAAAAGTTCGATCTCCATAACTTTTGAGGCACCCCTTCTCTAAAACAGAATGTTCTAAAATAAAATCATTTTCAGCATTAAAACGAGTGGACCGCCGTGGCAAGTTAAAACAGATAAGATCAGATAAATATAATGGTCCTTGTGAATGGATCGCCTTAAAAAATAATACAAAGTACTTTAAAATCAATCCTCTGCTTCACAGGCCGCCAGTGTAATTCTTTCAGAATGGGAGTGATATGGTGTGTACTATTGTACTTAATTTGTCAAACCAGTCTTGCAGCTGAGTTTTGAATAACTTGTAACTTTTTAATCTAATAGTCACAAATACCAAAGAGGAGACTATTGCAGTAATCTAATCTTGATGATATAAATGCATGTACTAATTTTTCAGTGGTTTTGTTATCTAACACTTTCCTTATTTTCCCAATGCGCCATAGTGCATAAGATGCTGATTTACACACTTCAGATACACGCTTGCCCATAGTGCCATTTTCATCGAGGGTAACTCCCATATCTTTTACAGAACTAGATGGTTTTATAAGAACATCTCCTATGCAAATGTTGGCATTTGCTACATTTTTTCTATTTGCCTTGAACCTTGATGTAAACCATATCAACTCAGATATGGTTTAAAATAAAAAAGAAAAACAGAAAAACAAGAACGAACAAAGTGCTCTGTAGTTTTTATCACAAGTACCAGTGTGAACATGCTACCTTCAGTTAGCACGGTTATCGTAGGGCCTATACCACTACAAGTACAGCCATTAATACAAAAAATAATATCATAAGGCAAACATTCCCACGGTGGCCCGTAAACATTTACGAAGTCGATAAAACTGCATGGAAATTCGTATTTTTACATATGGCAAATATGATTAAGACTTAACATAATTTCTGAAGAATCAGCATCTATGTCTTATAAACAAACAAACAAAAAAATGGCGTTGGTTCTTAATATTACCATACATAATGACGTCTCTCACTTACCCCAGCTGGTATGACGTAATCTCCAAGTTTGACGTCTTTTTCATCGTCATAGCGGCCTGCGTAAGGTGCAACCACCGCCACGCGCAGCGTCTCGTCCATTACCTGACGGATGAACCTGGTACGTGCATCAACAGATGAAAGATGCAGTGTCAATCATGATGTTATTTGACGGTTGTAAAAGCAACATGCATAAGGTAAATTTGGGATAAATGTACAAATAAATAAATTAATGGTTGTACTCTACTGGCCATGAACTTGATGAAAATATTACTATTTGTTACCACACATACACACAGTAGCAATACCAGCACAAAGTCAGTGATTTTTATACAAGCACTTACACCAACTGTGCAATGTTATCCGGTGTAACCTTGCCTGTGTCGCCCAGTACGGCTTTTACTTCTTGGAACATTTTCTCCTGAACGACAGTATATACTGAGATGAAGTGGAGGGCCCACACTAACACTGGAACGTTATAAACAGTTTAGTTTTCAGTTGGTCGTATGGGTTTGGCGAGTAGGGCAATAGTATCGTTTGAAATTCCCTAAGTGAAAACAAAGATACGTCAAGGGCTATCAGTGCACCCTTATAGCTTTCTTAGGACTTGCTCCCTTCCCCCTCCCCCAAAGTATATCTAACGCAACGTATAACTAGCGAATCAGGACAAAACCAAGCGATTTCCTTCCATCAGCATACTTCACATACATGAATTGTAATGCAATTGCGTTACTGTACTAGCCTAAAATACAGTGTAAGTCATTTTTGCGTCTATACCTTTCCCCTAGAAAAATTCTTAATCAAGCTGTGGAAATGCCTTGGGAGTGATCAGCCTAGACACGGATGTTTACGTCACTGCTATTCAATATCTAAATAAAGGCAGTGTACGGTAATCCTGAACCTCATATTAAGGTTTTCAAGATATTTTAAATTAAATTTCAGAAATTAAAATTGAACAGGCGTACACAGTTGTGATCGTTCTAATAATTCACCAAACGGTTCATCAGAACCAGTTAATACAGTCATATACTCACAATTTCCTGATGAATGGAATCCACCAATGATGAAGCTAATCAGCTCTCCCTGCAACATGTCATCCGGGATGTTGTTCTCAATCAGGACGTCAATTAACATCTCTCGTTTCTCGGTGGTCGGGGTCTTTCGTCTTAAGTCGATCGCAGCTGCTAATCTTTCTTTCATGTATTTATTCGCTGTAAAGAGAAAAATATATCTGGAAGTCGGACGGGCGGAAAACAGATTATGTACAGTAAAATAAAACATTTTCTTAATAATCGAAGTGCTAGTGGGGATATCCAATCCTTTAGCATAAGCAGCACAGGGAGTATTAGTCGAAAATCTTAAAACCTCAGTACACCTATATAACTGAGAAGAAATTATGTAATTAAATTAAGTAATTTCGTTAAGAGATGACACTTTCATAATTGCTTCGAACAACTACACGCGAAAAAAAGGTCTGAATAATATAAAATATTTTCCCACCGTTGTTAAATTTCTTTTCACGCTCACTTCCAGGTTGTGGTATATCTCCTGTAAGTCTCTCTTCCATATCATACCAACACTGTAAGAATGTAATGTCCTTAATTTGCAACGAAAACAGAACACCGTTCATATGCTGGCCTAATTAATGTGAATCAATTTTGCGTTGACAATTATGCATACAGTTTCATGTTAGAATACCCGTATTCGCCATTCCATAGACACGACTCCCAATGCTGGCTCAAAGGCTGCATTCACCACCAAATTTGATTCAGCGGACTAACAGATCCGCGGATCAAATATGGCAGACCCATTTGAAAGCTTACCGCGAATTCCCTGCGGGGAACTATTCAGTGTACATTAGGGAAAAGGTTTTTTAGTGGGTCGACCATATTTGATCCGCGGATCAACTTATTCTGAATACGCTGAAGGCGTCGATTTAAACTTACTACATCATATGCCTTCAAAAATTGTATGATCTGCTCCTCATCCAAAAAGTAGTCTCCAAGTGAAGCCTGTGTTATGGCCTTCAACGTGAACAAAAACGCCTCCTGGCGGCAAGGGATATGTTCACCACGTGGTGTTTGAGACCATTTCTCCACCAATTCCTCGGCAAGCTGTGATTATTGAAATTGTCAGACAAAAAAGGAAATCATAATTTATCAAGATTCTTGCCATTCCCTAGTTAACTATTCCATCAGGTGCGGCAAGATTTAGTGAAAAAAGAGAATTATTCACATATTCGCTTTATATGACGAATAGTAGGCCTATAACGTATTTGAAACGCTTCTAATTACCTTAAAATGGAATTACATCTGTTTTAAGGATCGCCTGTAATATCGCATTGCATTAACAAAAGCATAAACTGACATACTGTATTCATAGAAAATAAACATCCTCAGAATTCAAATCTGTGGGCGTACCGCATTTTAACGTTTCTGACTTTTTGACAGGATCAGATTATATGTAATAAATTAAATTGAATAACCGTTTGGAATTTTGCTATACATCTCATCACACTTCCATGACTGTAGCTAGGATCGTAAGTGTTCCTCCTCCATTTTCCGTCTTCTTTGTTGGCAAACGGGATAGCATGTTCAGTGAACAAGGGCTTGAAGATATGCATCAAAACTTCTGGAAACACACATTAGGGTCAAATTTATGTAAATAAATAAGACATCACAAAGTCCAATGTAGTTACATGTAAAATAATTTATCATGATTACTACTAGATTTGTGAATTATAATAATTATTATTATTATTACCAAAATGCTAACATATATTTTTCTTTAAAAAGTTTAAAAACTTTCTCGACTATGGGTAAAACGTAAAGAAAATCATGAACATATATTTATGATCTTGAATTAATTGAATACAATCGCTAAATTTGATTTTAACAGTAAATGAGCAAAACCAACCAAAACTTCTTTCACCTGGTCTATCGAACATACGCGAGGTCTCTTTAAACAGTTGAGGAGAGGCAATGCTGACTGCCATTTGTTCTCCAAGCCAGAACTTTGCTATGGGTCCATACTGCTGGTGTAGCCATATAAGGAATTCATGTAGACTGCCGCGTTTTTTAACCAAATCTAGATTTCCATTTCTGAAAGATAAGAACTCAGCATCCAGAGTATTAGATAGGGCGTAAAGACCTGACCATAAGAGATTTGTAATCGATGATTCTTAGTACCAAGCACAATTAAGAGTCCCCTCCTTTGCAGGGATGAACAGATTCGTAAGCATATAGACCTTTCATCTATGCCGGCAGCATGACTTGTTTTTTTTTTTATTAAGGCTACATGTATTCACTCCACCTTTTCATTTGTCTTCAAGTCACACATGTAATTCATCCCACTTTGAACCAGGAGCAGATGGCAAGAAAGAATTACTAACTAAGCAAATTATGTTGAATTTTGCTGAAAAGGGAAATGAATTTACCTAGAATATTAATATCTGCTTCATGTAATTTTTTTTGGCTTAAGGTTGTATTGTTAAACTATTCTGACATAACGAGTTGTAATTAAGTTCACGTGACTCAGTATCCGGGTACTTACTTGGTATTCTGAGATTTCAGTCCTGGAATGTCTTTGCTGCCTAGCATGCCGCTGCCTGTCATCTGCAAAACAAAAAGGATATGCATCTATAATTTATAGTCCATGCGATCCCGTCTACAAATGTTTTATTCCAATAATTAGTTTTTGCAAGCCTTTTTCCAATTTCTTCGTCAGAGGCGATATTATGATCAATGGAGGTACTTGGTAAATTAAACATAAACAAGTACTGCATGGGTGTCCAATGCACTTTACATATTTGTCTGTATCCAATCTTTTTCATGAAGGGCAGATCTTTCAATGTCTGAAGGATCCCACTTGGAAACACGCAATTTTAAAATAAATAAATAGTCCCTACACAGCACTTTCTCCAATCGTTTGTTTGTTGTGAAGGAAGGAAAAATTGAGCATTGAAATAAAGTGACCGGCTACATGTACAGTCGGCAATCAAGTATTTGTCGTTTCCATGAAAAGCAAATCCAAAAGTATTACAATACATTGTGTGTTTCAAATTTCGCTTAGATAAAGCTACTACAAAGTGTTTTCAAATGTTCGAACGGCATCTCTTTTTTATCTTACAATTCTTACATAGAACATGGTTTTCAAACAAAGTACTGTACTACTGTACACTTAGTAGTTTTAAATAGTTTGCTAATGGTTTCATTACTACTGAGGCACCTGTCATTACATACGGTGTAAAGAAATGAATATTGATCAGCAATCAGTTATCTTACCTTGTTTTTAATAATTGGCAAAAGCACAAGTAATGCCAGAAAGGGCACTGCCACAACAATACACAGCAGTAAAACAGACATCACTCTTTTGCATCCGTGTTGATTGGAGCAGGTTTTGTTTCACCTGGAAGACACTTGAAAATAAGTCGCTCTCACACATGGAGTTAAGTTAATGGCAATTTAAAATAATTGCCAAGGGATAATCCTATAATGCACTATTTCTAAAATATTTAACAAAAACGGCATGCGTCGACACAGTAGAATGAAAGTCGCCATCACTGCAGATACTATGCAACAGCTTATGGACACGTTTTCTTTCTCTTACCTACTTGTAGTTTTATACTCACAGAAAAATATCTGCAGCATGTGCTTTCTGTAGCATACCTTGAAAACTTCGAATGTCACAGAGAAAGAAAAATATCGGCACTTTACCAACCGACGGTATTATATCATACTGGTTGCAGAGAGAATACTAGAAAGCAGGCCACGAATAATAAACCGCCATATGTAAGCTTCCGCCACATAGATTTTAGTGTTGTTTACATGGTAGGATACATGACAAACATGTGTACTTCTTTGTTTAGAAAGCACCTATTATCGCTGCTGGCTGTATAGGGGAAATATGAACTAAGTAAAAACATGGGTCTATTAGTCTTGACTGAAATTCCTAGAATTTATTGAACCTCTCATCTAAATAGGTGAAAATTCACCCTGAGTGATATAAAAAATGAAGTTATAAATAAACAAATGAGTTTCATTTTGACAGTAGGGGGTTGATACATTTTAAAGGCCTAAATGCCTGATAATGAGGCAATGTAGCTTTTTTACTTGGTTGTGTGCGTGCAATACTTCTCTTTATGTTAGTTCAATAAAAATACCACTTTTAGAGCACAAAAAATATATTACTTTATTTAGCACAAAGCACCCTTCTACACATAAATTTGCCAAGTGTCAAATGTAGAGAAAATGAAATAAGGTGAACAAATAAATAACGTTAAACAAAGAAAGCTGTCATACGTTGAGATAATAAATATTCCAAATAATACATACTTAGTTAACATATACTCTAGAGTAATATTTTTCACTTCTTACCTCAAACAAAAAATTATATCTCTATCTTTACTACCGGTATATCATCATCACCATTATGATTATAATTCATACCTTGTATGGCCACAGTAATAGAACAATATGACACATGTATCTCTTAAATAATGTACAGACTTGACATTTAATATGGAATATTTTTTTCCAAATCAATTTTCATCAGTTTTTTTCCTATTTTGCTGACTGATAAATGAAAATAAGCTTTAAAATCGTGTTTAATAACTTTTAATTATCTCTTTGATATCATTGTGACATCAGTTCATCAATTGAATTTGCCAGAGAAGCAAACAAAAACACATTGCCTATTCTATGTCATAAGACAACCATTAAAAGGGATATTTTGGATCTCCATATTTTCCAAATTATTGTCTGTAAAATAGTTACACGCTCCACCAAGGACCCCCATGTCAGTTTCTAGTCACAGTAACGGTCGCTGTTACGCCTGACCTCTGCTGGCTGCTTCCAGCGCTCTCGAGTGGCAAAGCATTCCTTGAGATAGGTTTTTAGAGTTTAATCTGGAATAACATTCCCGGTATCGGTCAAAATCTGTTCAATTTGGTACAGTTTTGTAGTAGGACTAGTAGGCCATTGATTCGGCGAGTAATGACCTACCCACATATTGTCTATGGGGTTAAAATATGGCGATTTTGATGGCCAAAGTAGCTGCTCATTCCCTTGGTTCTGTAAGTAATCTGCTATTAAAAGTGCTCTGTGTGAACCGGCAATCTCACCGTGCAACCTAAAATTGTTCCTAAGTTGCCCCCTATCAAATGATAGTCAAGTGGTTCCCAGATTATTACTCTATTTGATCTGGTTCAGATTTTCGTCGATGACTACCATTGGTGTTTTGGCACCAATGTGGTATCCACCCCAAATACTGACGCTGTTAATGACCTTAGTCAATTCAGACGCGGCACACGCTTCGTCGTTGGCCTCTTCTGGATATCTATAAACTCTGTCTTGGCTAGTTGAGCGATTCAGGTAAAATCTGACCTAAATAAATAAAGCCACGATGTTTCAGTGTTCAACCCACAAGCAGTCAAGGTCCCCAATTCATTAGAGAAACATACAACAATGTTTTGCTGTTTACAGTGGGTTCCTCGGAGGTCGTCTGGTATTCTAACCTGCTTAAACCAGTTTGGTATCCACTAAGGTCCTTGAAAAATGCCTTTTGGTGGCAATTTACCCCTCATTCTGAACGGACTGGGTGGTTTTTGTTTAGTTGTAACAGCAAACCCCGAAAGAAACTGACCCCTATACCCTGGTGGTAAGATTTCAATACAATGGGTGTGGCCTCTGTGTAGGTATATCAGTCTAAATATTTCTCTGTAAAACTGTGCGGACCGTTTCGTTTGGCGCAATTATCTGTCTGTCAATGTCTGTCTTTTTCGCGACATTCTGCCAAAGATTACCAAATTTGTAAAGCACTGCATAACTCATTTAACACACTGCAAAACTGACCACTTGCATGCAAAATTTCAAATTCTTCAATGCAGTAGTTGCCGACATATGAATACTTTTTTGACTGAACCATGCTTTGCCGAAGCCAAGCTTTGACCTGCCGAAAGGAGCACTACCCAATTAAATTACTGCATATTACAAAATGCAGCAGCCCAACAAACCTGGTATTCAGTTTATTGGTAGCGACACACCTGACTACACACTTCTCCATTCACATATCTTATATGAGATCGGAGTTTTTTGATAAAAGAACGCATTTTTACCTAGGCATACCTTCATAGCTAAAATATTCCATATTAAACCTCAAGTCTGTACATAGGTGGTTTTTACCCATAATAATTCTATAACGATATATATATTTATATATATATATATTCTTTTAATTTTTCTGCATATTCATATTGTAGATTGTATGAAGGTGGCAAAAATTAAAGGGGATTGGCAAAGAAGCTGAAAAATATGTATTAACTAATATATATGCGATGGTTTTGATTTTTAAATACAAGGTCATGATAATCTATGTACCAGTACAGAAATAAACTGAATTGAATTGAATTGAATTGAAATAATCTACTCTTCTTTATTCTTATCGGATCTCGGAGTAATCGTCAGCCCAATTTTTTTCTACACACATGTCCTTACGTAATTCTAAATAAAGAACGCAGCGTTTCTTCCATTACCTGACGATTGTAACTTCAAGAAAAAACAATAAAGTTCAATTAATACATGTTAAGATATATAAATTAATGCTAATGTCGATAGAAATTTCTGATCGTTCAGGATGTAAAAGAGTGATTTTTTGTAATCGTTTAATTTATTGTTATTCCCACGTGCTTAAAAAAACGGTATCTGCTGACGACCTTAGTTCGACTATATTTGGTTGAAGCCAGTGCGTGTCTAAACAAAGTTCTGATTTTCAATTCACAGTTAAAATAGTTCACAAACAGACAACACAATTACCAACTAGAGAAATGGAAATGCACCAATTGTATTGTCGTTAGTATATTATATTGTACGAGGTCATCATAATCTATGTACCAGTAAAGAAATGAATTGAATTGAATTGAATTGAAATAATCTACTCTTCTTTATTCTTATCGGATCTCGGAGTAATCGTCAGCCAGACTTCGTTTTGGGGGGTAGTAACTAGTCCATACATGGCCTTCACCCCCAAACCATCAACATGATGAACCTGCAAAAGAGACAAAACTGACGAAAAAGGTTGAATGACCACTCAGGATGATTCCGGTATTTGTATGGATGAAGCAATATATTTATTAAAATTTTGTGAACCATATGAGTATACAATGTGTATACCATGATCGATGCCTACTAGTAGAAACCTGACCCCGGTTTCGTTTTGCACAACCATATTGGACTTGTACGTACCGTGTTTTTTTTTTTTGTGATCATTGCTTTTATTGTATTTCCCAGTTACTATGATGAAATATTCAGCAGACTCACCTGGAATTTCAGCAGAATGTTGGCCAGCACCGTGGCTACTTGAGCGTAAGCGAAACGGTATCCAGGACACTTCCGATTGCCGGCAAAACCAAACGGTTGAAAGGAATAGGGGTGACGTTCAGCCACTTTCTCTGGGCTGAAGCGATCTGGGTCAAACCTAAAAAATGGTGTTTTAAATTAAAAAAAAAAAAAAAATTTTACCATTATTATTATTATTATTATTATTATTATTATTATTATTATAACCCATTACTGTGGACTTAACAACTGAATGTCTGCTCCTTAGTTAAAAAAATGAACGCATATCATAACTGTACTCACTTATCGGGGTTTTGCCAGATTGATGGGTCATTGTATCCAACGCCCAAGGCCTGGATAATGGGTGTCTGGAAAACAAATTTATCTTAAAAAGCATAATCTCGAGTGATTTATACTGTTTGCCCATGCAAACAAGAGCGGCAGCTTGTAATCAACATTTATGAACATGTTGCACTTTTTTAATGTTGTCAATCAGTTTTGGTAAATTGAGTTGTTTCTCCATTCTAAACAAATAAATTTGGCTATACTTTCAGTACGAAATTGGTGCAACGAAGAATCAGCTATGCATTTTGTTATTTTGTTTGCTTAATTAAGGTAATTACAGTCAAAGAAATAATGTCAAAGTGATTATCAAGAGATTATAAAAAAGTTTTTTTTAAAACACGATTTGAGTCCTTGTTTTCTTTTTTCGGAGAGATATTTATAAAAAAAAAAAGAAACCTGATTTGAAAAAATATTCACTGCATGGCATCAGAATGGAATATCTCTCAAATAGGACGTCATTCTACTTACCCCAGGCGGTATGACGTAACCTCCCAGTGTGACGTCTTTTTCATCGTCGTAACGGGCTGCGTATGGTGCAACCACCGCCATACGCAGCGTTTCTTCCATTACCTGACGAATGTAACTACAAGAAGAACCAATAAAATTCAATTAATACATGTTAAGCATTCTCTTGGTCTTGTCGCCCAGAGGACAAATAAACCAAAAACAGGACAAAACAGGGATGGGTCAGTCTTCATACTTACACTAGCTGAGCAACGTTATCTGGAATCACTTTGCCCGTGTCATTTAACTTGTCTTTTACTTCTTGGTACATTTTATCTTGAATTTCAGGGTACATAGAGACGAAGTGGAGAGTCCAAACCAGCCCTAAAATTGAATAGATTTCAATTATATATATAATGTTGCCAAATTATCAAAATAATTCCAGGATAACGAGGGGTCGACTTCTTCATACACCATTATTCTGTTACGAAACTGCCATCTTTGCCCAAACACGCATCAATTTATGACCAAAATAATTTACAAGCACCTTTTCTCTCTCAATAAGAGAGAAACCTATGGGCTTGGAATTTGCCTTTGTTTTGAAAAAAAGGAACTGATATGTATATCGCAATAAGCATGTCAATGTAAGTCTTCAACCTAATGATTAAACGAAATTAACCAATCATTTAGAATTTCATGCAGTCGAAAAGATAATGGATACGCACAATTCCCAACAGTATGGAAGCCACCAATAACATATGTCATAGCGTCACACTGCATGACGTCATCCGGAATACTGTTTTCAATCATGACGTCAACCAGCATTTGTCGATTCTCGATGGTTGGATGTTTACGCCTGACTTGGATGACCGCCGCCAAAATGTCGTACATGTATTTTTTCGCTGTGAAGAGAATATATCAAAACAAGCTTCCTAATGAGCAGAAAGAGGGCAATCTTCAAAAGTACTCCTAACTTCTGAATTTAGACATTTTATGGCGTATGTCTAAAATTAATCTTGCCCCGGTGGTACTTTAGGGCTCAAATCTACACAAAGCTCCAAACTTATTTTAGATTAGATTCCAAATATGCAGGGTAGGAGGATATTTTAGGACATTTCTGATGAGTGTTCGGAAAAATGTAAGAATAATTTAATCTGACCTAAAGCCTGAGTGACTACAAACTTTTTCTCAATGGCTTTGGTAATAAATCTAAGAAGTAAATATATCAATCACAATTAATACACAATAAATTAAGAAAAAAACATTGAGTATGAGAAAAGTGCCAGTGCATGTTGATAACATATTTTACCATCGTTGAACTTTTTCTCACGATCACTCCCAGGATTTGGTTCATCTCCGCGTTGTCTTTTATCAAAATCGAACCAGCACTAAAACAAATATGAACATTTTATCATGTTGATATTCAAAAATTATATGTGCTTAAACTACCAAAACGGTTGGTGACATCTAAGAAATCGTACAAAGTCTAGCATTGGTTTGTTAATTTTTCAGCAGTTATACCAACAGCCATTAGCAATCGTGTTGGCACTGTTGCTTATATTGTTCGAACCGTCAGGCACACAAACAAGCTCATACAGGTTACCGTACAAAGATAAAGGAGCCAAATCGAACACTTACTGTATCATATGCTTTCCAGAACTTGGCGACCTGGTCTTCGTCTAGAATGTAATCTCCAAATGAACACTGGGTTATAGCTTTTATTGCGAGCAGAAACACCTCCTGGCGACAGGGAACGTGTTGACCACGTGGCAAACGTGACCATTTCTCAACCATTTCCTCGGCCAGCTTTGACGATAAAAACAAATTGAGGATATTAAAGGGTGAAGGTATCCAGGAGTAAAGGTTATAAGAAAATGCTTTACAAGCTCTTGGGATATAAATTTAAGATCCAATTTGTTTTTTTGTTTTTTTTTGATTCACTATTGGGTATACATCTCTTTTCTTTTGACTATATTAAAATTCCCTTCTATTTATTTCCTTTAGGAAGATAATAATAATAATAATAATGACTTGGCATTTGTATTGAATGAATGTATATCGCCGTTTGCTGGATTATTGAAAAAATGTAACTTAAGCAAAACTATATATTTAATTTTATTTTTGAGAATATCACTTAACTTAATGACTCTCCAAAATTTGATAATAATTACCCTTTGGAAAAATACTAATTACCCTTTGGAATACGGGTATGTACTCCATTACGTTTCTGTGACTGTAGCAGGGGTCGTATGTTTTCCTTTTCCATTTCCCCTCTTCCTTGTTTGTTACCTGAACAGATTTTCTGGTTACAAGGGGCACGAAGAGCTCAAACAGAACCGCTAAAAGCCAAAGGTTATGAATCAATAAGGCCAAGGATTTATTGCGCGTGCGTGGTGTATTTAATGTGTGAATCGCTTAAATCAAGCGTTATAATTCACGAAATAAAACAACGAAATGAAACCCTTGAAATAATCAGTATATTAACAAAGTCTAAAGAAGCAGAATAGCATTTACTCACGGGGCCTATCGAACATACGCGAAGTCTCTTTGAACAGTTGAGGAGAGGTGATGCTGACTACCATTTGTTCTCCAAACCAGAACTTTGCTATGGGTCCATATTGCTGATGTAGCCACAGTAGGAACTCATGAAGACTTCCATGTTTTTTTACCAGTTCTAGGTTCCCATGTCTGAAAAGAAAATACCAAAGCTTTATACAAACGACAACTTGTTTAATCTACTGTGATTGGTAGTCGAATCTACAGCCACATATAATATATCCAGAAGCGTTTAATTTGGAAAAAATTACTATCTTTGTTGAAGCGGGTATCAGACGTTGCTTCAACTTTAATCAACAAATAAGCAGTAATATAGTACTTAAGTGGGCTCGCAACAATTATTATTGCGTTTGATTTGATACGAGGTTAAGTATATTGATTCGGGGTTCGCATTCACAAACAGGCCGCATGAAGCAACAAACGGCAATTATCGTTCATGAGGCCTGTTATTGGATCCTTATAGACTATAGATAATGTTTCCAATAGGAAGTATTTGTTGTACAATCCTACAGGAATCCTAAAATCGTGTGGGAATGCAATAGGTCTCTTTCGTAAGGGAAGTGATCTGGGCCCATGCAGTTTCGTCAACACCGGATAGTACTGTCCTAGGGATAACACTACTACTGCATAAAATTGTTATTAAATGTACCGAATAAAGCAATGTATCACAAACACTGCACACTTCTTTGACTCTGATATTGTTTTCCAGTGGTTGAAAATACATGCTGTCCTCAGGACAACAGTTCATAGGATAAGAATGTTATGCTGTGGATATAGTGTTATCCATAAGATAGCACTATCCAGTGTTGATGAAACTGGCCCCCCATGGAACATGTACGTACTTGATATCTTTGGTATTCAGTCCTGGAATATCGTTGCCGGAGTTGCTGCGGCCTAAGATCTGCAAATAAACACATATAAGACTTCGTGTCAGATGAAATTTCTACACCCCTTGTGATCAACCTTTTGTTGTCAATAATAAAGCAAGCTAGTGTCAAACTATTCGTAGGGACCACTCCCACAGATACTTGGATCGATCTATCTCCCTGGGGAGTCTCACTAAATTGCTTTCAACGTAACCGGCTTAAATGTTTGTCACCCTTAGTAATGCTGTTACTAGCTGATTCGGTAGGCATGACAGACATTTAAGCTTCTTGAGCTGACGGCAATTTAGCGTGAACCCCCAGGGAGTTAGGTCGATCCAGATGGATCGATATAAGCATGGGAGCCCAGTAATAGTGTCCTTATTATAATATCGGTGAATATAATCACTGATTATTGTTGCGGACTTCGAAAAATGGCAGCCACTAGCTGCTAAATACATTTCTATGTTTGCGGAGTTGGAAAGATGCCAGCACGTTCACCGCTCACGACCTGCAATGTTAACATTATAGATAGATAGATAGATAGATAGGCAGATAGATAATTTATTCCAACGTGAGCAGAAAGTACACAGTATTTTTACAAGCTAAGAATATACATGATAAATATACAATCAGTGTAACAAAAATAAATTGGTTGAATCAATATGACCTTAATATATGTTAATAAAATGATAACATAATGTTAGCATTAGGAAAATAAACTGGGACATAAAAGTATGCACCAGAAGGTGTACACCGTGCGATGTGCATTTATACCAGCATCAAGATATACAGACTCAACAACCTACATGTACATGTAGTGTATTAAAAATCCACTCCCAAATATCCGTATTCCATGGAATGCAAAGAAAAGTCTCCTAGTATTTTACATGAATACGATATGATTTTATGCTATATAGATAACCTTAAGTGTCAGTGTTTATGTTATTTTCATATTATTCTATTATTTTGCTTTCATAAATATCTTTGAATTTAGTACTATTGCTTATAATCATCAAATCCATGATTCTTTTACTTGCTTTATAGTTGATATCATGACATGACTTGGAAGTATTATACCACACATATATATTCCTTTCTATATTTACTGACTGCGCGACAATTGTTACAGCCATGGAATATAAATGAACGGCCTTGAATGTGCAGCTTCAAAAACATCCCTTACCTTCTTGTTAATCATCTGTAGTAGCACGAGTGTTACAGTGACTGCCAGTGCGACGCAGAGCAGTAGAAGATACATCTTTTTTTTCATTAAATTTTTTGTTTGACAGCGTGCTGGGTCACCTTGGCATATACCTGCAGTAGATTAAGGTGACACGTAATTGTCAGAAAACTAGGCCACGCCATAATGAAAGCCCTTAATTGGCCTTACATTTGAGTAAGAATCAATTAATCTAGACACATAAACTAATCCTGTGAAATAAGATAACAATTAATTTAACAAATAAAGAGCCACGTCGTGAATTAAGATAAAATGGTCAAATGTTATCTATTAAAGGACCATATGGATAAAGAAAAAAGACAACCATGGACGTGACTTCGGAGGGTTCTGTAAGTTTTTTTTCATAGAATCTCAATTTTACAAATTCTTGGCCGGGAAATATATTTTTCTAGAGAGAATCCAATCAGATTTGCGACTAATTACTGTCTTAAACAAAGTAGAAATTAAATAAATGGATACAAATATGAATAAATAAATGAAAAAAGCGAAACGTGCAAATAGAGTTGTAACAAATGTCTATTCAAAGATAAACATATGTTCTTGTTTAAGATGTTAAAAAAAGACACGGTGACAAATATGGATACCAAAAGTGATGCGAAATGCGTGTGAGTAAGCTATTTTTTATAGATGAAAAGAAATTTCAAAAAGATAAACGATTATATATAAGTAATCTCCGCTGTTAATTTGGTTTCCAAATATTTATGAACAGGTCAAATAAAGTGCGTTTGTCAAATTCACTACCCTGTGATTAACATGTGCAAAAGATTTTAATATTAAAACAATATTAACAATACACGCTGTCATCATTCACTTCACGTTTTCTACTCACGGTTCAAACGTCTGTCGCTGATCGCAAGGAGATGCTTACAGAGGCCTTGATGTACTTGAAAGTCACCTACAGATGATACGGGCAACAACGTAAAAGGTCTTAAACAACTGATAGCTATTAAACTACACCAGCACTAATAATCTGTCTATCGGCTGCAGAACAGTCGGTCGATTACATTATTTCTCAATACTTATCAATCTCTGGTAATTAGTGCCTCTCTCAATGTCCTGTCTTCATCCTACCATACCACAGGTTTAATATTTGCCAAATATCCGGGTCCTCTTTGGCCATGAAGTGGAATGTAGGTCATTGATATCTACTGGTAGGCCTAATGAATATCAGTCGGCACCGACCTGCAATGCGGGTCAGCCCTGCGAACTTCTTGAGTTGTTACACTGCACTTTAATTCTGCGCGGCTTAAAGGCTTTATGCGAGTGAGGTAAAATAAATGAGGTCTTCATAATTGTGATGGAATAAACGACAAAAGATTGTAAATGGAAGGGTTTATTTCCACGAAAATAGCTATTTTAATGAAAAATGATTCACTTACGTACTGTGAGTAGGAAATTTGCGCCATTCTAGACTTATATTCAGATACCGGTCCGTTACATCTGCATGAACAAAGGTTAATAAAACACTTGAAAAAAGTCGCTATCATACACGGAGTTAAGTAAATGGCAATCAATTTGAAATAATTACCAAGGGATAATATTATAATGCACTTTTTCTGAATTTTTTTAAAACAAAAACGGCGTGCGTCGACACAGCAGAATGAAAGTCGCTATCACTGCAGATACTATGCAACAGCTTATTGACACGTTTTCTTTCTCTTACCTACTTGTAGTTTTATACTCAGAGGAAAATATCTCCAGCATGTGCTGTCTGCAGCATACCTTGAAAACTTCGAATGTCACAGAGAAAGAAAAATAATCGGGGTTTTACCAACTGGATGCAGTAAAAGAAAATACTAGAAAGTGGGTCACGGTCTTGACAGTGGGGGTTTTAAAGGCCTAAATGCCTGATAACATGGCAAGTTAGCTTTTTTACTCGTTTCGTACATGTGCAATACTTCACTTAATATCAATTCATTGAAATTAGCACTTTTATGGCACAGACATTTTGTTACTTTATTCAGCAACAAAAACCCTTCTACACATAGAGTTGCCAAGCGTCAATTGTCAATGAAATGAAATAAGATGAACAGATAAATAAATTTAAACAAATAAAGCTGTCATACGTTGATCATAAATATTCCAAATAATACATGTATGATACTTATTTAACATATATTCTAACATATATTCAAACAAAATTTTATTATATATTACATGACCACAGCTTAAGAACGCTTTGATATGATATCTCTTATAGGTAGTTTTTAGGTCTAATGATTCTATAATGGTATATAGTAACTCTTTCAATTTTTCTGCATATTAAATTGAAGATTGCACAAAGGTGGCAGAAATAAAAGGGGATTGTCAAAGAAATCGAAATATATATATAAACTATGTAACCAAAATTGGTATGGAGCCTTATGCAATGCTTTAGATTTTGACATACAAAGTCCGCTCCATTGCCAAAAGTTCAATCCAATAAATCCAATACCTTACAGCAAGGTATCGTGTCAGTTTGACAAATTAAGTCAGTTATGAGTTCAGATTTTGACATATTTTATATCTATACGGAGCTCATCGATATGTCTGTTCTCGCTTAATTCCATCATGTTAGTTAAAACTTGTCTTCGACCTAATTCAAAATAAACGAGTTTATTTCAAAATAAAAAAAAAAATAATTTCTACATCACTTTAAATGCTTTTATATTTTTGCAATAGAAAATACCGATTTCTTAAAGAAAACCGCGCCCTTGATCGATTGACCGTTGACCTAAGCACTGCAGAATGCAATTTACTATAATAAACTATAATATGCAAGATATTATATAGACAAACTGTCTTTCTTTAATCTTCTTATAACTTAGTATTTACTGGTACGTGAAACAGCTGCTACTTGTATTACCGTTACTGTCTTTGTTACCTTCGAATGCCACATAGATGATGTAGGCCGTTACATACATATGTTCTGAGCATTATAACATTCAGGGTGCATGAAAAGAAAACATGCAGGTCACAAATAATGCATCACAACTAGATAGTTTCCTCCGTTTATTTTTCAGTGCTAATTTAACATACCTGTATGTTACCTCTATCAAAAAAAAAAAAAAAAAAAAAAAAAAAAAATATATATATATATATATATATATATATATATATATATATATATATATATATATATATATATATATATATATATCTGTTAGGAATACATCATTTACAATGTTGGCTTCATAGAGAGGAACAATAAACTGTTTACATATTGGATTGAACAGTCTTTAACTCATGTCATTTAACGTATTTAAAGTAAAAATGTATCAAAATAAATGGAAAACGAAAAAAACTGTTGATTTTAAAGAGCTTTTTCAATTTCGCCAACCTTGAAGGAAAGTACACAAATAAAATAAATGCATCCTTCGTAAGACAGGCTGTAGGCAAAAAGTGGCAAGCGTTATATGATAGACGTAAGGTTCCAATTATATTTTCTTTGTTATTACAATACAGTGCGATTATATATAATAGCCAAAAAGAGAAACGCACTTTTTTATCGCACAGCGGCTTATTTTTGTTCAATAAACTATGATTTATATTTGTATTACTGAAAGTATATCAGATGTCTTATTCCAAGACAAATGACAAACGTCTTTCCGTCAAGATGTCAAACGAACACTCTTAAATAATAAAGACAACAAAATCCAACGATTTATATAAAAACATGACAAATTCTACAGCAACACGAAAATTATCGGTAAACAACACATCATAATCACTTATTAATAATTCATGAAAACTAAATATAATACAAAAAATTAAAATTAGTGCAAAAGGTGAAAAAGATACGGAAAGAGAAAGGATGTAAAAGAGAAACAATGTAAACCACTTAAAAATAAGAGAGAAACCTAACACCAATTAAAGGACAGAAATAAACCTCATGCCTACCTGAAAGTATAAAAGATGTCTTGTTCCAAGACAAAATGGCAAACCTTTTTCAGACAACGTGTCAAACGAACAACTAATCTTCCGAGAGAGACCTCGGATAAAAGAACACGAAAGTACACGAATGAGCCTGAACACGAACGCAATTAATATTTTATTCCTACAGCATTTCGCCTGTGGCATCTATATCTATGGTTTTAATGTACTATTTCAAACAATAGTGTTGCATTAATCCCCACATGCTTAAAAGGATAATAACTCTTCGTTTCGGCCAAAAAATGAATTTTCCTGGAGTAAACAACAATTTTCCCATACTTACCAATGGTTAATGAATCCATTTTTACATTCAAAGTTAGTCCCTGGTTTTTTTCTAAAAAGTTTGTTTTTTTGTTAAAATATCTTAAGAGATTTAACAGAGTATAGCCATCAATGGAGGTCACGTGATCTAAAGACAAGCTCAGATATCAGAAAAAATAGCTATTACTGCCGTTTTTATGGTAAAACAGAATATATTATATTTCTACGAGTTATTCACAATGTTTTTATTGTGAAATATAGATCTCATACGAAGAGTTATTATCCCTTTAAAAATGGTGTCTGCTGATGATCCCAGTTAGATTATTTTCAGTTTAAGCCGGTGCGTGTCTAAATAAAGTTTTGATGTCCAATTCACAGTAAAAATAATCTACTCTTCTTTATTCTCATCAAATCTCGAAGTAAGCGTTAGCCAGACTTCGTCTTCGGGGGTAGTTATTATACCATACATGGCCTTCACCCCAAAACAATCAACATGATGAACCTGCAAAAGAGACAAAACTGTCGAAAAAGGTTGAATGACCACTCGGAATGATTCTGACATTTGTATGGATGAAGGAATATATTAAAATTTTGCGAATTATGTGATTATACCATGCTCGATGCCTACTAGTAGAAACCTGACCCCAGTTTCGTTTTGCACAACCATACTGGACTTATACGTACCGTGTTTTACCTTTCTTTTTGTGATTATTGCTTCTGTTGTATTTCCTTGTTACTATGATGAGGTATTCAGCAGACTCACCTGGAATTTCAGCAAAATGTTGGCAAGCACCGTGGCCACCTGAGCGTAAGCGAAACGGTATCCAGGGCACTTCCGATTGCCGGCAAAACCAAACGGTTGAAAGGAATAGGGGTGACGTTCAGCCACTTTCTCTGGGCTGAAGCGATCTGGGTCAAACCTAAAAATTGGTGTTAAATTTAAAAAAAGAATTTTACCATTATTATTATTATTATTCTTATAACCCATTGCCGTGGACTTAACAATGTCTGCTCCTTAGTTAAAAAATGAACGCATATCATAATTGCACTCACTTATCGGGGTTTGGCCAGATTGATGGGTCACTGTATCCAACGCCCAAAGCCTGGATAATGGGTGTCTAGAAAACAAATTTACCTTAAAAAGCATAATCTCGAGTTAGTTATAATGTTTGCCCATGCAAACAAGAACAAGAGCGGCAGCTAGTAATCCCCATTAATGAACATGTAGCACTTTTTTAATGTTGTCAATCATTTTTGGTAAATTGGGTTGTTTTCTCCATTCTAAACAAATAAGTGTAAAATGACTAACGGTGGCTATACTTTCAGTACGGAATTGGTGCAACGAAGAATCAGCTATGTATTTTGTTATTTTGTCTGCTTAATTAAGTAATTACAGTCAAAGAACTGATGTCAAAGTGACACTCAAGATATTATAAAAAAAGTTTTTTTAAACACGATTTGAGTCCTTGGTTTCTTTTTTCGGAGAGATAATTATGAAAAAGAACCTGATTGAAAAAATATTCACTGCATGGCATCAGAATGGAATATCCCTGAAATAGGACGTCATTCTACTTACCCCATGCGGTATGACGTAACCTCCCAGTGTGACGTCATTTTCATCGTCGTAACGGGATGCGTATGGTGCAATCAGTCCCATGCGCAGCGTTTCTTCCATTACCTGGCGGGTGTAGCTACAATAAAAACCAATAAAAATCAATTCATACATGCAAATACATTATACAGGGGTATATACACAAATAACAATGTCGAAAAAAGTATGTGATCGTACATGATGTAAAAATAGTGTTTTTTTCGAAAGCTTTCATTAAATTTTTAATAAGTTTAGGGCACGAAAACAGGACAGAAATAGGAATGGCCGGGTCAGTCTTCATACTTACACTAGCTGAGCAACGTTAGATGGAATTACTTTGCCTGTGTCAAATAACACTTTTTTCACTTCTTGGTACATTCTATCCTGAACCTCAGGGTACATAGAGACGAAGTGGAGAGCAAAAACCAACCCTGAATATATATATGCCAAATTATCAAATGAATTTCAGGAAAACAGTGGGTAGAATTATTAATAATTGATTTTTCTGTCACGGAATTGCCTTGTTTGACTAAACACACACCAATGGCAAAATAATAAACCAGGTTCTTTGCACAATCAATATAGAGAAGCCAAGGGGTATTAAATATTAAAATATACATATCGCAATTGGCATATCGACATAGGATTTAAGCCTAAACATAAAATGAAATTAATCAATCGTTTGGATTTTCATGCAGACTAAAAGACAGATATACGCACAATTCCCTATAGTATGGAATCCACCAATAATATACGTCATAGCGTCACCCTGCATGACGTCATCAGGAATATTGTTTTCAATCATGACGTCAACCAGCATTTGTCGTTTCTCAATGGTTGGATGTTTACGTCTGAATTCGATGGCCGCCGCTATAATGTCGTACATGAACTTTTTAGCTGTGAAGAAAATATCATAATAAGTTTCCTACTGAGCAGAAGGTGGGTATAATCTTCAAAAGTACTCCTAACTTCTGAATTTAGAAATTTTATGGTGTATGTCTGAAATTAATTTTATGGTGTATGTCTAAAATTAATCTTGCCCAGGCGGTACTTAATCATGGCTCAAATCTACAGAAAGCTCCACGTTTACTTTGGATTTGACCTAAAGATTGAGTGACTGACATCTTTTTACCGTGGCCAATGGCTTTTGTAATAAATCTAAATAGTGAATAAATCAACCACAATGAATACACAATCAATTAATAAAAAATGATTATGACAAAATCGACAGTGCAAGTTGATAACATATTTTTTACCATCGTTAAATTTTTTCTCACGCTCACTCCCAGGATTTGGTTCATCTCCGCGTAGTCTTTTATCAAAATCGAGCCAGCACTAAAACAAATATGAAAATTTTATCATGTTGATATATAAAAACTATATGTGCTAATACTCCCAAAACGGATCGTGGCGTCTTAGAAATCGTACAAAGTCTAGCATTGGTTTCTTAATTTTTTTAGCAGTTATACCAACAGTAGTCGCCAATAGCAATCGTCTTGCTTCACTGTAAACGGTTCGAAACGATCAGGTACACTAACAAGCGCAGGTTATCGTACAAAAATAAAGGAGCCAAATCAATTACTTACTGTTTCAAATGCTTCCCAGAACTTGACGACCTGTTCTCCCTCTTGGATGTAATCTCCAAAAGAACACTGAGTTATAGCTTTTAATGCGAGCAAAAGCACCTCCTGGCGGCAGGGAACGTGTTGACCTCGTGGCAAACGTGACCATTCCTCAACCATTTCCTCGGCCAGCTTTGACGATAAAATAGATTGAGAATATTGGAGGGTGAAGATAGGGATAATTAAGGAGAAATCGTTATAAGAAAGGGCTTTACAAGCTCTTGGAATGTAAATTAAAGATCCAATTTGATTCTTAGAATCACTGTTGGGCAAACATCTCTTTTCTTTTGACTATATTAAAATCCCCTTCTATTTATTTCCTTTACGAAGATAATAATAATAATAATAATAATAATAATAATAATAATTTTGTATTTGTATTGAATGAATGAATATCACCGTTTGGTGGAATATTAAAAATATTTGCCTCAAGCAAAACTGTATATTTAATTTCATTTTTGCGAATATCACTGAACTCAATGACTCTTCAAAGAATTGAAAATTTTTTATTACCCTTTGAAATACAGGCATGTACTCCATTACGTATCTGTGACTGTAGCAGGGGTCGTATGTTTTCCTTTTCCATTTCCCCTCTTCCTTGTTAGTTACCTGAATAGATTTTCTGGTTATAAGGGGTACCAAAAACTCATACAGAACCGCTAAAAAAGACAGAGGTAATGAATCATTAAGGTCAAAGATTTATTGCGCGTGTGTATATACACACGTGACATTTAATATGGAATATTTCAGTTTCGAAGGTATACCTATGTGAAAATGCGTTCCTTTTTTCACAAACTCCGATCTCATATAAGAGTAGTCAGGTGTGCTGCTACCAATTAACTGAATACCACGTTTGTTGGGCTGCTGCATTATGAAATATGCAGTGATTTAATTGGGTAGTGCTCCTTTGGGCAGGTCAAAGCTTGGCTTTGGCAAAGCATGGTTCTGTCAAAAAAGTATCCATATGTCGGCAACTACCGCTTAGAAGAATTTGAAATTTTGCATGCAAGTGGTCGGGTTTGCAGTATGTAAAATGAACTTTGTAGTGCTTTACAAATTTGTTTATCTGTGTCAGAATGGCGCGAAAATGAGAGACATTGCAAGACAGATAATTGCGCCAAACGAAACGGTCCGCACAGTTTTATAGAGTAATGTCCAGACTGATGTACCTACACAGAGGCCACACCCAATGTATTGAAATCATACTACTACCAGGGTACAGGACCGACTGTCTTTCGGGGTATCCTGCTGCAACAACACGAAAATCACCCAGACGACCTTCGAGGAACCCACTGTAAAACATCGTTGTATGTTTCTCTAATGAATTGGGGACCTTGACTATTTCTGGGTTGAACAATGAAATCTCGTGGCTTTCTTAATTGAGGTCAGACTTCACCTGCACCACTCAACAGTCAAAACAGAGTTTACAGACATCCAGAAGAGACCAACGACGAAGCGTGTGCCGCGTCTAAAGTGATTAAGGTCATGAACAGCGTCAGTATTTGGAGTGGATACCACATTGGTGCCAAAACACCAATGGTAGTCATTGACGAAAACCTTAACCAGATCAAATAAAGGAATAATCTGGGAACCACTTGGCTATCATTTGATAGGAACAACTTAAGAACAATTTTAGGTTGCACGGTGAGATTGCCGGTTCACACAGAGCACTTTTAATAGCAGATTACTTACAGAACCAAGGGGATGAACAGCTACCTTGGTTATCAAAATCGCCATATTTGATCCACATAGACAATATGTGGGTAGGCAATTACTCGCCGAATCAATGGCCTACATGTCCTACAACAAAACTGGACCACATTGGACAGATTTTGACCGATGCCTGGAATGTTATTCCAGATTGAACTTTAAAAACCTATCCCAAGGAATGCCTTGCCACTTGAGAGCGCTGGTAGCGGCCAGAAGAGGCCAGGCGTAACAGCGACCGTTATTGTGATTAAACACTGACATGAAGGTCCTTTGTGGAGCGTGTAACTCTTTTACAGACGATAATTTGGAAAATATGGTGGTCCAAAATATCTCTTTTAATGGTTGTCGTATGACATAGAATAGGCAATGTGTTTTTGTTTGCTTCTCTGCCGAATTCCATTAACGAACGGATGCCACAAAAGTTATTTAAACATCCTTATTTTCATTTATCAGTCAGCAAAATAGGAAAAACTGATGAAAAATGATTTGGAAAAAAATATTCCATATTAAATGTCCAGTCTGTGATTTGTGAATCGCCCAAACCAACCCTTATTACTCAAGAAACATTTAAACAACAAAACAAACAAACAAAAAATTGAAATAATCACTATGTTTCCAGTCTGAAAATGAAAGCAGAATGTATTTACTCACGGGGTCTGTCGAACATATGCGAAGTCTCTTTGAACAGTTGAGGAGAGGCGATGCTGACCACCATTTGTTCTCCAAACCAGAACTTTGCTATGGGTCCATACTGCTGGTGTAGCCACAAAAGGAACTCGTGTAGGTTGCCATGTTTTTTAACCAGATCTAGGTTCCCATGTCTGAAAAGAAAATACCAAAGCTTTATTAAAACGACAACTTCTTTAATCTCCTGTGATTGGTAGTCGAATCTGGCGCGTTAATTCAGAAAAGATAACTATCTGTGTTGAAGCGGGTATCAGACGTTGCTTTGACTTTAATAAAAAAATTATCGGCAGTAAACAACTTAAGTGGGCTCGCAACAATTATTATTACGTTTGATTTGAAACGAGGTTAAGTATGTTGATTCGGAGTTCGCATTCACAAACGCGCGAAGCAACAAAAGGCAATTATCGCTCATGAGGCCTGTTAATGGGTCCTTATAGACTTCCTAAAGAAATCCCATAGGAAATGTTTCCAATAGGAAGTATTTTCTGTACAATCCTACAGGATTCTTCAAATCGTGTGGGAATCCAATAGGGCTCTTTCGTAAGGGGAATAGTCTAGAACCATGCAGTTTCGTCAATACGGGATAGTACTATCCTAGGGATAACACTACCATTACATAAAATTGTTATCATAAGAACCGAATAGAACAGTGCTTCACAAACGCTGCACGCTTCTTTGAGACCATTCCCACAGATATTTGGATCGATCTATCTCCCTGGGGAGTCTCACTAAATTGCTATCAAACTAACCGGCTTAAACGTCTGTCACGCCTAGTGAAGCTGTTAAGGAGTAATTATCTTTACCCCTAGCTGATTCGGTAGGCGTGACAGACATTTAAGCTACTTGAGCTGATGGCAATTTAGCGTGAACCCCAGGGAGTTAGGTCGATCCAGACTGATCGATATAAGTATGGGAACCCAGTCTTTGACTCTAATGGTGCCTGCTGTCCTCAGGATATCAGTCCATAGGATAACAATGTTATGCTGTGGATCGACGAGTGTTACCCATAGGATAGCGCCATCCAGTGTTGATGAAAATGGGCCTGGTACGTGTACTTACTTGATATCTTTGGTATTCAGTCCTGGAATGTCGTTGCCGGAGTTGCTGCGGCCTAAGATCTGCAAATAAACAACTTTAAGCTTGTGTATTGTGAGGAGTCTGACCGAAAAGTGCTCTCTGCAACCGGTCCACCCCCTCCACCCACCAAGCTGTACGTCACCCGTACAACCATTCTCTTTTTTGGTCAAAATCATACAGGGGTGAGACGCCTCTTTCCACACCACGCTAAAGTGAGACGCCTCTCAACACGCAAGCTAAAAGTAGTACACTGTACACGGCTACGAACAGTAAATTTATCAGATAAAATATATATAAATGATACATCTATTTATTCCGCCACATAGACGCAAAAGAAACATATCCAAGGAAATCACGACATTCTTTTTCAATCTCGAGCGTCCCGCAAACGATCTCAAAGCTTTTAACTAGGGGCGCTGTCAAAACACACGTCCCCAGGGGCCCAGCCTTGGATCGTGTTATTTTGATAAGAGGTAGTTTAACCAAGGCATGAGCAGACCACCCCCAAACACAACAACTACCTCGACTATTGAGCAATCAACACGTCGTTGTCTGATCTCCCTAGCTCACAACAGTGACACGCAGGTGACTTTTCTCACCACCTTACTGTGCCGCTATATTATCGCCAAGCAACACAACCACAAAAGCGAGATACCTTTGTGGATTTACTAAATCGTCACAAGCGAGACAATTGTGAACGTACTCTCTCACTGTGATCTGCCTAGCAGATACACACATACAAAGGCGAGACACCTTTGTCAGGACGAGACGTCCTCGCACATCAGTACATTTAAAATCTACACAAGCAGACACAAACTCACAAAGGCGAGACACCTTTGATGGGAATTTGGTTTTTTCCCTTGTGAAAACCACTATTCTGAATACAGCACTGACTACCCCCCTCACACCCCGTATCACTCGGACTCTGCATCTGATGAAGGTCACTTGTTGACCGAAAAACGCTTTTTGCAACCAGTCCACCCCCTCCCCCCACCAGGCTGTATGTCATCCGTACAACCATATTCTTTTTTGGTCAAAATCATACAGAGGTGAGACGCCTCTTTCCACACCACGCTGAGGTGAGACGCCTCTCAACATGCAAGCTAAAGCTGTTACGATCAGTTATTTTATCATATATTAAAAAAAAAAAAAAAAAAAAAAAAAAACTGATGCATCTAATCATTCCGTCATACAGACGTGAAAGAAACATATCCAAGGAAATCACAGCATTCTTTTTCAATCTCGAGCGTCCCGCAAACAATCTCAAAGCTTTTAACTATATTTCTATGTTTGAAAGATGCCAGCACGTTCACGGCTCACGACCTGCAATGTTACATTATGTGTGAGATAATACACTGTTACCCGAGCGATATATGCCGTAACACCTCGAGTGTAAGCGAGAGGGGTTCATGGCATATATCGTGAGAGAGTGACAGTGTATTATTTGACATACATACCAAGAACAAATATATTGTCATTTCACCCTGAAACCGAATAAAGTGACGCTCTAGAGAGGTCACCTCCCAAATTCTTATGCAATGTCTGACCAATTTGATCAGTTTTTGCCAAATACTTGTCATGGACGTTCAACTGGCTTGAAAAATATTTAATCAACCGTCGACACTGACCATGCGCGTCTCAGCTGAGCCTCACCTAGCTGGGACTGCTGCGGAAAAAAGGTCCCAAGGCAAAACCTCTACTTTTTAGTGCCATTTCTGACAAAAAAAGGAGCGTCGGACCAGTATATAGTCAAACCAATTTTTCACAAGTGCGAAGGAGAAAGAAATTTACTCTTTGGTGATATTTCTGACAAGGAGGCAGTTTTGGAATATAGTCCAATTCAGACGGATATTGACCGGATATTGAAGTTCACGAGAGTAATAATTCTAGTTAGGATTCCCCATAGAAGAATACTATTGTTTTTGCTGTTCTTCTTATTATTATTAGGATTCCCCATAGGGGAATACTATTGTTTTTGCTGTTGTTCTTCTTCTTCTTCTTTTTCTTCTTCTTTTTCGTCAAAAAATTTCTTTCTAAAATTCTGAAAAAATTCATACTGATAGCCTATGAAAAATTATTCCGGTCCACCCATTTTTTTACTTTGACCTAATTTTCAAGGTCAAAGAGCCTTTTAAACTGAAAATTTGGCAAATTTCAAAATGCATATCTCCTAGAATTTTCAACATTTTGACAAATCCTTTCATAGGTGAGATCACACAATGATTTTATATCATGTGACCCAATTTTAGGGAAAGTAGGTCAGGTCAAGGTCAACTTATGCACGATATGCTCTAAGTAGTTGACACTCGGCAGGGGGTAAACCAGATGTGACAGAGCCACAAGGATGATGTAAAAAGTTGCCCTAGATATCTATCCAGTGCACTCGCTAATAATTTTGACAATTGACTGATTTGTTTTTTTAATATAGATTTTTAAAAATTAATATTTTCACCGAAATAGTGACTTAATTTCACCATGAAATCCTGATTTTTTTGTGATAACATGCTATAGTAAACTACCCAAACATATACCCAACACCCCCAAATCAAATGTCAAATTTGACCTTGACCCTCATTTTCAAGGTCATTCGGCTATTTCATGGAGAAATATTGAAGTGGGCTAAAAGTGACGTTTTGTTGAAACCCACCCCCAATTCGCACATGCCCTTTCAGAATATGGGGTCAAATTTAACCCATGACCTTCACATGACCTTGTAAGAGCATTTCCACACCGATTTTGCAGGGGAATCCTCCGCCACTGGCTTAAGCCAGTTGCAGTCTAGTTATTATTATTTTTTTCTTTCTAAAATTCTAAAAAATGTCAAATTTGACCTTGACCTTCAATTTCAAGGTCATTTGGACATTTTTCTTTCCACACGTTTTTTTTTTCGCAAAAAATTGAAATAATTATCAAAATGGTCAGAATATGCTATACACCCAGTAACAGTGACCTTGACCCACTTTTTAAGGTCACAGGGGCATTTAAAGACGAAATTTGTAAAATTTGAAATTGCAATTATGCCTAAGCTATGTGGATGAAGACCTTTTGGCCAATAATACGAATGTGAATCCCCAAATACTGACCTACTTTCATGCAAGTAGGTCAAGGTCAAGGTCGCTAATAGCCAATTTATTCCAACGTGAACAGAAAGTACAAGGTGTTTTTACAAGCTCAGAATATACATGATAAATATACAATTAGTGTAACAAAAATAATTTGGTTGAATCAATATGATCTTAATATAGATGTATGTTAATAAAACGATAACATTATGTTAGCATTAGGAAAATAAACCGGGAAATAGAAGTATGCACCAGAAAGTGTACACCGTGCGATTTGCATTTATACTAACATCAAGATATACAGACTCAGCAACCTATATGTAGTGTATTTAAAATTCTTCTTCCATGGAATGCAAATAAAAGTCACCGTGTATTTTGCATGCATACGAAGTGATTTTATGCTATATACATAACCTATAATGTCCGTGCTTATGTTATTTTCGTATTATTCTATTATTTTGCTTTTATAAGTATGTTCAGTTTTTTTTTTTTTTTTTTT